TGCTATATTGATATTCAGCATGACTAGGAAGAGTGGTGTGTGTGCTGGAAGGGTTCCTACTGTAGTTTGGGGCTTGGGTGTTTCTTCTTCATTTTCTGAGCCTGGATTGGTGGGAACCAATGTAAGTCTTGTCATAAATTATAGCAGCTAAAGCCTGCTCTGAATCATAGGTTTTCAAAATGTTTTTGACCTGTGGATGGGTGCAGTGCTCCATGGAATGGGTGTAAGTCTACTGATAGTGGACCTTTTATCTTTGGAGTAATCCGTGAACTTCACAAACAAGGAATCTTCTGGCCCCCAGAGGGAAGAACTGTCATTTTAAGTGTGTGTCTTCTTTTCCAGGCGGACTTGAGCTTGCCCTGCCTGGGCACCAGGCTAGCTGGGCACAAAGCAGCTCTGAGCTTGAAAGCTGCGTAATCACACTGGCGTGGCAGAGCAAGCTGGGAGCTGTTTGCAAAGGGCAGTGTGGGCATTCTGGAACTAGTATGTCAGCTCTAGCAGTTCCAGAGGCATTTTGTGGTTAGGTAGAGCAATGACCCCTCTGACTTGTCTCCTTTGAAGCATGTCTTAGCGACATGCTTTTTCAGTCTTTCAGTTAAGTGGGGGGAGCAGGTATGGTGGAGCATTGTACCAATTACCGACTGTTTAGTGGAGATCTCAAAGGCCCTGCCAGATCAGTCTTCTGGCAGATTTGAGAGGCAGCATAGGACAGACAAGGGCCATGGCTACATGTTTGAGTGCCCGTGTATTTATAAACTCGTAGTATAGTCAAGCTATCTGCATACCCTGTCCTAGTCTATCTCTCCTCCCCTGGTTAAAAGTGGTGGTGAGGCTATGGCAGTATGAGCTTTAGCATGTTTTGGAGACTGCAGGACAAGCTTTTAAAGCATTGAAAAGGAGAGGAATATTTTATGTTCGTCCTCACAGTTTTTTAGTGTCTTGCCTTTCTCGGGATTAGGAGAAGGTAGTCAAAGAGCTCAACGACCAGATACTGCTGCAAGGGGTATGCCTATCCTTTTGCAGCCCTTTGCCACATGGTCCTGCCTTCTCCCTTGCTGGTGCAATTTGCAGGTGTGATCAAAAATCACCATACAAAAGTAAGTGATTTTCTGCTTGTTTGGTGAGCACAGCTGGCTTCCTGAAATAACAGACAAGCACCAAAGCTAGTTCACAGGAGAGGGGAGATCTTCAGAGTGTGCAGACAACCAGGACCACTCTGGAAGCAGTAAGCCATCATGATTTATGATGCCTCACCTTTAGTACACTGGGGACTCTGAAAGCAACAGGATGAGTAGCAGGGAGTAGCTTCTGAGGCACCAAACAACACTGAATGAGTCTGGAATTGTCATTCCCTATAAATCATTAGTAAAAGTACAATAGGACTTTGTTTCTCTTGGTTCAGATATATGAGAATAATAAGAAAAAAACCCAGCTAACTGTCACTACCTGTAAGAAATTACAATTGTTCAAGATGCTAAAAATGTTGCCTTTTATTGGAAACAAAAGTTCATGGTGTTAACAGGTAAGGTCATTATTGCTTAACCTATACAAATCAATTTATTCCCTTAGGGGAGAAAGATTAAACCTGAAAGATACTACTGCCTTCAGTACTGCTTAATTTTTATATATGCATTTATAAATTTTGAGCGTAATCACAGGTAAGGCTCTTGCAAGCCTTAAAAAGTCTTAAAAAGTAAATGAAGGAAGTCCTAAACCTAGATATGCTGTATGCAGTGTCATATTGGACTTAGTTGCGGTAAGTTACTGAATCTTTCACAGAAAAGGTGAAAAATCATAAAAGAATTATGAATTCTCTCCTGTGTGTTGGTGAAAGACCTTGGAGACAAATGTTTTAGGCTTTCTTTCTCTCTCTTTAGTAAAATTTAACTCTGCTATTTGACTTGTTACAAGCATCCATTCTGAGGCAATCATTTTCAGGTGCTTTTCCTTCAAATTCAGGTAAATAAACCTCAGCGTGTTATCAGAAAGCTTCTTGGTCTGTCCCCTGATTTTTAGGCAGTTGTTTCATTTTCCAGATCTGAATTCCATAACTTGTTGATAAGTTGGATCTATAGGGCTATGCTGTTTTTTCCTGAGTGGCTTTGATTGTTGCATACTAAGTATAGATGGTTCAGCAAGCAGTTAATCATCAAAATTTTTTTCTTACCAGCTGAGATGAGCTTTCTTCTACCTTAGAAAATAACACCTTCAAATGATATAATCAGTAATGTTTGCTGGTCAGATCTTTCAATCATATGGCAATGTAGCCAGACTGTCCCTCTTTTCGTCACTTACTGATTTTCATGTATTATGTGCCATTTGTTCTGTATATCGGAAAACTCTAAAAATTTAACTTAAAAAAGAATTAAAAATGGACAAGAAGAACTTCTCCCTGATGGGAATCTTTCCCTGAATTCCAGTGACATTCGAACTGGTCTAATAACAAGATATGGCAGAAATACCTTATTTTAAAAAGTCTCTTTAAAAAACGCCAAAACACCCCTGGCTTCTCTCCGCCTCTCCCTTCCCCCAACCCACAAATTCTCTCCTCTGAGATTATGTAATTAAATAAATTTAAGTGCAGCAGAAGATTCTTTCCCTAAAAGTAAAATTTAGGAGTAGACAAAGAAGGAACAAGATCCTGCATATTAAAAGTGAGTCACTGAGTTCTTTCCTAACAGAAGTTAAATTGACTCATCATATTGCATAAAGTTTGCAATACCACAGGCCTGACCTGATACTATTATTTAAAAGTACACTGGTGACTGTAGTTGTCTGGGTTTATATGAAATCACATCAGATGACAGTCTAACCTAGAAATTGTAATGTAAATTAAATCATAAAATCTGAAGCAACATTTCTGTTATGTTGTAAAATGAAAACTATCCCTTGACATGTCTTCTTTAAAACTTTAAAAATGTAAAAATGCAGTATCATCTTTCAGTGGGTAGACTCTTGTTTCTGGTTGCCAGAGGAGCAAGAGCAATATGATTACTCTTGAAAATTCTAGTATAAATAGATTTTTCTCATTGACAATCTTCAAGATTATCCAGGAAGCTTTTTTTTCCCCTTTTTTCCCCAGTTACTTAGATTTTTTTCTGTTTTAGAAGAGCTTCAGTTTTTAAGTTTCTGGTTTTTCTTTCTATAAATTAAACTTATCTTTGCTCCAAGTTAAACCCCTTGTGAATCCTGCAGAGAGCTGAAGATCCATGTCAAGCCTGAAATTATATTTTAAGGAACTGTGGGAATGTATTTATAGGACTAATCTGCTATATAATAATTTTATGCTCTGCATAGCAATCTCAAATAAATCCTAGTTTTCAGTATTGTCAGTGGCTGTATGTCTTACTGTATTTTTCCTTCTTGCTATGACGCCCTAGAGAAGAAAATGTGCTTTTGAGAGAAGACTAGAGGATGGTTTTCATTCCTTGGATATGCCATGGGAACGTTCCAGCCAGCCATTAAACTAACTAAAATAATCCATGGGAGAAAATAAGCTTGCATATATCTCAAATTTGTTGGTTAGTTGTGTTTTTGTTGGGTTTTTTGTGGGGTTTTTTGTTTGTTTGTTTGTTTGTTTGTTTTTTGTCAGGGAATGCAATCTCATTTATTCTAACCACAGGTGCCAAGTTCTGTCATTTTTACGGTTATTGTTTCAAGGTGGAAGGAAGGCTGCTTGAGCGGGTAGTTTGTGACTTTGTGAGGCTGCCTGACAGCCGTTAATAGAGATATAATTGGTTTTTGTTAGAGGTGAAATACTGACTTCTAGAGAACATACGGAAATAGTTCACAGTTTGCAAGGTGGTTGCAGGTCACCATACCTCATTAAATGAAGAGTGAGAGAAACTTGCCAGAACTCTCTACCTATGTATGCATGGCACTGCAGAAGTTTAACTAACACAAGGGCACCCATTTCCTAAAATCAGCTGCTGAAAGTGTTATGAATCATATCCCCTTTGTAATTCACATATCAGGGAAATGGTTTTAGGATTCAGTTTTGTTAGAGATGGTATCGTACCACACTGTGGATTCACACTGAAGTCAGTGGGACTACTCATTCTTTGTGCAAATCACAGATACAAAACTGAGCACTTAAGTTTACTGAGTGACAGGTATATGGAAGTGTATTTTAAGTGAACGTATTTGAATGCTTAACTTGGAAACAAGCATTGTGATGTGTCTGTTGCTGCTTCTTGTCTGTTGGAAGTATTTTATAGGTTGTATATGTCTGGCTTCTCTTTCATCTCTCCCTGCCTTTTTCTCATGTCTACTGTACTGACTGCCAATTTCCAGTGATTAGGTTTTAAGCTTTGAATATTCTTTTTTGTTGTTTTCCGTAAGAGGTTTTAAGGTGGATTTTATGGCTTTTACCTCTGACCTTTTTCTAGTATTTTGAATTATTCTGAAGTTAGCTAATTTTTTCAAAAATCTGTCCTTCCTCTCATCTTTTTTATTTCCAGGTTTACCTTGGTTCTTCTCTACATGTATTTTTTGTGCATTTTCTCTCTGTGTTGTTTCTTCATATTAGTTTATGACAAATCTTGAGTTTCTTTCTTTCACTTATTCTTGCCTTTTTGTATACTGTTAAACAGAGCCTTGGGAATATAATTTTGCTTGACATCTGAGTTGCAGTTTCAGAAAAATCAGAAACATACTATTTGGAAAAAACTTTGTACTTTTAAATTAGGAGAAAAGCTGATATCTACAAACAAGAATGAAGGAACAGAAGTGTTTCAATAATCTCCTTTCTCTTCTGTTTTTCCATATCTAAGGAATTGATTCATTAAATAATTATTTTCAGGCAATGAGAAATCAAAAATAAAACCTCTTTTAAATGAAGAATTCTACAGAATTATAGTACCTGCTTTTCTTTGTACTGATATCTTTTCTTACATGCATTAATATGAGATGGTTGGTTCTTGTGTTCAGTAAATGAAAAATCACTTCACTGGCAGAATCTCTCTTAACAACATTGATTTGTTTTGTTTTGTTTTCAGTGCAATGAAACTTCCTTCTTTTTTGAAGCACGTAACAAGACCACATGCAAACATCTCTGGAAATGCTGTGTAGAACATCATACATTTTTCAGGTGGGTGATGCAGAAGTTGTGGGTTTGGTACCAAAAGGAGGGAGACTGTATTGAAAAGAACCTTCTTATACCTACAGAGTGGTGTAACACAGGCTTGCTGCCTGGAAACACATTTTTGCTCTTGGTTATAGAATGCTCTTAAAAGTGGATGCCTTTCCTTTTCTTACAATGATGTGAAACAATAATTTTAAAATTGGGTAGTTTGGTTGTTTCTTTTGTCTTAGAATTCTTTTTGAGACAGTATCTCAGGCTGCATAAAGTAGGCTTTAACAGAAGTATCCACAAATGTGTATGGCAGGATTTAAACTGCCATATACATTTTCACGTATTTAACCATCGAATTTTCTGTAGGAGCATTGACTTGAGTGAGGCCTTTGGATTTCAGACATTACTATTTCCTGCTATGCACAGAAATTTTATTTTTTGATAGGAAGACTCATTGAATTTCCACAATGTTTTACTTATTGAAGTATATAAAATGCTTCCAATATTAGACATCTCAAAACACTTTCTTTCACTGTTGCAAAAACACTAACAGAAATGTGCAAGGGTGTCTAGCTAGGAACTGGTCGATGGGATGGTTGGGGCTGGCTTTAGCAGTGCTGTAAATGAGTAAACTCGGAATCCCTCCTGTAGTCTCATTTCTGTGGCATGATGTTCTTGCTTGCTCCTGTGAAATATTAAGCAAAAAAAGCTGCTGTTGCCAGCAGTTTACAGTAGACCCTGAAATAAAGAAGTGTGTAGTGAAAAGAGGAGGGCATAAACATGTGGCTTTGTGGAGCTCTCAACCCCAAAAGAGTCTGCCTGGATGTAGGGATGAAGAGGAACTAGCAGATTTTTTTTTTTTTTTATCTAAAGTTTGTATTTCTCTTTTCTTTTCTTTGGAAGGGGACTGTAATTGAGACCTATCTATGTAACTTACTCTGTTGTTTTATTTTTCAAACTACATAGAGTGCCGGAGAATGAATCAAACACTCTGTCAAGAAAATTCAGCAAGTTTGGATCCATAGGTTATAAACATCGGTCCAGGTGAATTTATTTCATTGTTTAAACTTAATTTAATTCCTTCTTCATTCCTTCTTTTCTCCTCTTTTCTTTCAGTGAAAGAAAAACCCCACCCAGACTATGACTCAGAGGAGTTCTGCTGACAAAGCATGAATCAGGGCATTTTTAAAAGACTCCCCCTTGAGAGTCTGACAGTTTTGGGACAAATGTGAATTACTTCTCATTCTCCAGATCCCCAGAGTTGGCTAAAGCCTGCTGTAGCCCGTATTGAAAGTGAGAGCAGCTTTGGCAATGCTTTAAGTCAAAATCTCCTTATAAGTCCTGAAATTATGTTCATGTCCTAAAGGGTTTTTCCTGACAACTGGGGAATACCAAAACAAGGAGGCATGTTGGCTGCTGCCTTTCTTCTAGGATTTAGCAAAGGGTTGGTACCAAGAAGTGTATAAAGTCTGTAACTGTGATGCCCTTCTTTACGGCTGCAATTGAGGTACGGCAAGGGCCCTCTATCCAAATGGTTATGTCTAGTCCTGTAGCAGTACTGCTGGTGCAATGCTGTTGATTTAAGAATAAAAATGAGGGCAGATCTGAAGGGAGATGGGGGGTTATCTTTTCTAACTGAAATAGCTGGCAAAATTGGGTAAGCATTCAAGGCTGCAAGCCTTGAAAGATGCAGTAAACTTCAGACTAAGGGTGTATAGGGAGCACTTAGTCTCAATTTTAGCCTGAGTTAACCAAGCAGACAGTGTGACATAAAGGGCAGTTAATACTATGATATAGAAGAAGATGTGGCAGGGAGAGAGGGTTTAACAACCTCTAGCTGCTGTGCCACAGAGGACTATCAGAATATAAGATGTAGTTAAAACTGTAAGATGTCAGAAACCCAATAGTTTTTACTGAGTATTGTGACTTTATGTTTTTAAATGTGTGGAAATGACAGGGTCTTTGTCTAGTGAGTAAGGCACTTGATTTGGCAATTGGTGACTACTGTTTTAAATACAATTCTGTCACAATGCTGAGCAATTTTGAGCCAAATAATTTATGGTGTGATTTTTAGAATTGCTTTACAGTTGTATATTCAGTGAACCTGAAAGAGAGGGTGGAAAGCAGCAAATCAAAACCACATCTGAAAGCCAGACCCTTTGCTTTTTCCATTTTCATTTTCCCTGTTGGTCAAGTGGGCATAAAAATAGTTTTTAATCTTTTGTAGTTCTTTTGAAGCTGCTGGGTGAAAAGGCGGTATTTACTATACTGGCACATTTCAGAGGTTTTTTTTCCATGGCTTGCAAATATACCAAGATTGTTTAGGTTTATTTGTGGCTTGTCTGTCTGTCTCTCCTTACTGTCTGTATTTCTACTATCAATCAAGAAATACATGGATCATAAAGGGTAAAGCTGGCAATCGTTAGTTAGGCAGTTCTTTGTCACTGCCTAGGAACACTGTTCTGAAAACAAGAAAGCCATAACCCCCAATTTCTCTAGCAGCTCCTGGATTGGAGTTTATATCTGTGGTAGATAGTAATAGCATTGTGTAATAGTAGCTCTATGACACTTGCCATCAGTCATTCAGAATTCATAGTCAATTGTCTGTTACCCTTGGATCTTGCTTGTATGGAAGGTGTTACTGATGGAGACATGACTATGCCAGTGCTGAGCCTGAGCTCATGTGGCTGAGACTGTCTCCAGCCAGGATCACTGGTGTGTTCCTGTCCCATCTTCTTCAACGTATGTCATGGTAATCCAGATTATTTGGGTTGTCACATTATCTGGCATGATCCAGCTTCTTCTTACTGTAGGTAATAGGGGAATGGTTGTACTGCCTTCACAGTTTCTAGTTGGATCCTTACCCATATAACCCCATCTGTGAAACTGGACAGGAGTTCAGTGGATTCCTGCCAGAGTACTGCCAATGATAGTTTCCTCTGTTGGACCGTTTCAGCAGATTGGAGCAAGGCATTGGTGCTGGGAGGAGAAAGCTTTGTACTTACCAGGACCTTCCAATCGATTTAAAAAAAAATACTATGAAGCAGTTAACTGTGTTAGAGTTACTCCCGCTGGTGGTGCATTTTAGTTTCTCTCCCTTTTTCAAGAAGTTTCAAGGGTGATCTGTGATATGGTTTGCCATGTTGGGGTGATGGTCATTACTGACATCTGTGTTTATGATGTTAGTTTTGTCTAGAACACATTAAAGTACCTATTTCCCTTCTAGTATGAAGTGTTCCCTGTTTTGCTGCAGGGATTCTTGAGGACTCCCCCTGACCTGAGTGGATGTTCTGGTAAATGTGGGTTGTGACATCTAGTTGCACCATATTGATTATACAGTGTTAATGATAAATAGTGATAATCAATTGGTGTTTGACATGTTAACTCTCATCTTGGAATTCAGGGCAGCAGTAACAGCATTTTCATGTGCTTTGAGAATCTTCTCTTTGCTTATCCATCAGTTTTGATTGTCTTTCCTCTTTGCCTTTGTCCCTGTTGTAGCACCAAAAGCAGTGGCAGTGTTGTGTATCTGTATACATCAGCTCAAAGCAGAATCCATAATCCCACCATTTGACTGTGTATGTAAGGGGACCATAATATTATCTTTTGGCTTTTTTTCCTTTGTTTTTTTAAATGTTCTAGGTACTTCTCATTAGGTGGCAGACAGTTTTCAGAAAAGTAATTTCCTTGTCTTAAGATCAGATGCTTTGGTTAATATGTGGAGTTGTTAGTGTGAGTGGAAGGTCTTATCCCCAGATGTTTTGTTAAAACTGCTTCTGGAATTTGTAAGACTGGCATGGTTGCCGAACTTAAAAGTTGAGTTAGAAGTGTTTTCTGGCTAACTTGGGAGCAAAAAAAACTATTAAACTGAATATCAAGAAACAGCATTACTGTGATGTAATGTTAGAATCTGGGGCTTTTCAGTCCTTTAATTCTTTTATAAATTTTGAGAAGTTAAAGATTCTGTAGTGCTGACTATCCCTGCGCAGCTATTGGTGAAAATACAGTCATCCTAGTGGAGTCTATTCGCATAACTCAGAAAATCTACATATGTAATGCCTAAATAGTTGCTTGGCACTTGATAGTATGATACCTGTTTAACTTCTAAGTCATCGAACTGCAGGTGTTTAGGCAACTGGGAGTTAATAGTAACAATTAGTTCTCCTGTGTAGTAAGTTGCCAGAAGCAAACATGGAGTTTTGGGGAGGAATATGAGGCCTGTTTTACATTTTTGTTATGAACACTTTATTCTGCTTGGTCACATGGAGAGGAACATTAAAATGAGCATAAAAGAATTTATTTAAACTTAATAACTTATTTAAATTGTGCAACGAAGAAGAGCTTCACTGTAAATGGGAATCAGGACTTCTACTCAATTTATTATCATTTGGGCGTGTGCTAGTGAGAGTACTTTGTTACAGTTTGCTTTGCACAGAGTTTTCCATGCCCTTTAGGTTGTCATTCCACATGGCAGAGAAGTAGCCCCTTACTGACTGGAACAATGTTAAATATGTGCTTTCCTGAGATAAAAACTTACAGAAAGAATTGAGGAAGTAATCAAATAATTTAAGAAAGTTTTATGTTAGAATATTCGAGGTTACGAAAGGTCACATGATTTTAGCCTTTTCCTAATAAACCAGCATTGTTTTTTAGTTGCTTAGCTCCTCCTGAAAATACCCAATGTAGAAGAGATTGGCACAAGCTGCTGCTGATTCTTCCAATGACTGATTCAAAACGAAAGTCAGGGTAGTGCTACTCTGCAGGAGAACCGGAGAAGTGAATAGCTAACAAAACATGCTGCCCAAACGCCATGAATAGCTAACAAAACATGCTGCCCAAACATGATGCATTTTTTTCAGTCTGAAGATGCTCTGTTTTGTTTATCATTTTTCCCAAGTGTTTTCCCATGATTTTGTTGTGTTTTCAATTGGTAGGACATCTTTGCAAATGACCAGAGACCCTTCTGTGCAGCTTCCGCGGCCTGACCAGTGCATTGAAAGAAGCCGCAGCAAGACTTACCCCAAAAGAACACAGCAGACCGGTAAGTCCTTCTCTGCTGGGTCTGTGGAGAGAAGTCTTCTTTGGTCTTTGGTTCATTTCATTTTCAAGAGGTGACTCAGAACTGCTGCAGTGTCCTCAAGGATCTCTCAGAATGGATTCTCTCTTTTGTCTTAGGTCAGTATTTATATCTAACTTTAGCTGGATCTAAAAACTCCGAGTTTGTGGGTAAAAGTAAAAGAGATGGTGTGGATCAAACGTGACAAAACCCCATGTTTGTAGGTCTGATGTAAAGTATGAAAGGGAAGTTTGAAAACAGGCAGTGAGAACGTGTTTTTTTTTTCAGGAGTCCTGTCTATTTCTGAAGAATTTTATATCTGTGTGTCTTGGTTGGTATACCATTGTACCAGCTGCTTGACCCAAGGTGTCTCTCTTGTACATCCTCTTCCCAGTTCAAGGGTGGTATCACTTTATTTTGATATTAAGAGAACAGAAGTTAGTGCTATGCCCTCCTCAGTTTTAACATGCTTCAGATGTGTGAGCTGGAAGTCTGTTCTGCATGCTGAAGATGTCGGGGAAAGCTGGAAGGTTTTTCAGATGTTAGAGAAACATATAAGATTAAGCATGGATCACAGGAGTCATGCCCAGAATAATGGATGTTTCCTGATATTTAGTAATAGAGGCAAAAATCTTTTCTAAGGTCAAGCTGCACTCCTACATGTGATTACATGTGTACACTTAGCTTCATCTATGACAGCAGTCATGCAGATTTCTGTTGAACTTGTACATGGAGTTAAGTATATGTGTATGTGTGTTAGACGTTTGAGAAAAAAGTTGTCTGGGTTTCAAAATGCAAGCAAGATTTCTCTTTATCATGCGTTAGTACAGCATTATAAACTTTTGAGGGTCCCCATTTTTAAAAAGAGAGCAGGTATGTCCATCTGGAAACCTCCCATATTTATTCTGGATGCTGTCTTTTGACTCAGAAACAAAGCTGGTGTGTTCTGCCTTTTAGCTGCAGTGGATCTTGTAGTGTAATTAGAAGTATTGCCCTTGGAAAATACAAGCAGTTTACAACAGATTTATTTTATTTTCTTTTATTTAGTCACATGTAAGAAGAGGTTTGCTTTCTGATTATGATATCTTCTGTTGTGTCTGTAGCTGACAATGGGTACCTAAGAGGACAAGAAGCTGTTCATCCTTGAACCTAGTAGTGACTTAGACTTTTGTTCAGCCGGGCTGTCCCATTCTTGGGGTGGTAGTTCAAGATGAACAACATTTCCTACCTCATTAGTCCCCAGTTCAGTTGTGCAAAAAGTTGTGTGGATATTCAGAGGTAAACTTGTCAGCTGAAACTCAGCCCTTAGTCAAAAAAGTTTGGCTTGGCACAGGCAGTGAAAGTCAGTCTATATTGCTGCAAGGGTGTGCATGTTGTGCTTGTTGAATTTTTTTGGTCTCTTTGACTGGAATTGTGAGGAAAACTGAAACTTTCCCATGGCCTGTTCTGCCGACGTAACACGATGCAGAATTCTCTGGGCGATGTGTGTTTGTCGTTATGGTGGGTTTAAATACTTAGTTTTAGTTTCAAATAAAAAGGCTGCTTTTTCACCATCTTACTCATATGTATTTGTGTAATCTGTATCCCCCATCTGGGTTGTTTTGCTTTTAATTCAACTTAATTGATTACTCATGTGTTCCAAATGTGCAGTCATTTTCCACTGAGGTAGGTATATTACCTCAAATGATTTTTAAATTAAATGAATTTGTTTCATTTAAATGAAAAATATGGGCTAAAGGAAGAGAGCTATGTCATTCCAATTCCATCTTTCCCTATAAATGAAAATATTTTTTACTCTATTTTTTCATTTTGTATTTGGGTATTCACAATGATAAACATCTAGTACTCTTTCTCCATTTAAATGGGCTTTCAGGTGCTGAAGGCAGACTAAAGCTACTTCTCCTCCATGTGTCAGACACCATGTGACAGTCTGTTGCATATCACTAGGATAAATCCACCCCTTTTCACTTAAACTGGTTCTTGGATATAGCAAAGTCCATTTCACACAAGAAGTCAAATCTGTTTGATCTATTTTAAGCATCACTTGTTTAAAAATACTAATCTAATGTAGATTTTATTTTTGCAGAATAATTTTTATCTTAGAAATGTGCCTGGTGGTGTAAACAGTCTTACGAGTTACTTAAAACTTTCCCTGACTGAAATGTTTGAGAGAATATGACATTTCTTCTTAAAATAAATATTCCTTTTGCATAATGAGAGTATGCCAGTGGTTGTCGTTGATGGCTAGTCCTTTGTTCTTAATTTTGTGTTTCTAGTATGGTGTAATAAGATGAAATATGCCTTGTTCAACATTTTAAATAGGGTGATTTTAGTTTGCATGCATTACATATTTCTTAAGGTGTTTTCTGCCAAATGCCACTTAAATTAGGATCCAGCTGGACATGGCTTATAATTTAGTTCTTTGGAATGAAAATCAAAGTTCCACCTATTCTGCCAAAACCCAAAACCCAGGAGCAACTTACAAATAGTTCTGATGCAGTATCTTCCTTCCACCTTCTCCAAGTTCAGCATCTTTCCTCACCTGCTTCTTTACTTTTTATCCTTTTCTTAAGATTGCAAAGTTAAGTGCATGAAAAGCTTCCTTTCTTCAGCCAGTTCAATTAGCCATTCTGGTTTGGTTTTGTTTTGTTATCTGTTGGTGCCGGTAGTGGGACCAGCCACAACAGTGGTTTTGGGGGCAATTAGGTGAACCAGTAGCTACAAATGCATGGCTGCAGTAGTATGTGCAGTCTGCATTGCCTCCACTGAAGAGGTGTGTGTGAAGTGCTGAAGCCTCTAACCTCTGGCATCTCATTAAAATATTTTCCCTTGTTCCTTCTTTTTGTATACGTGTTCTGGTGTTATTCACAGTTACATAGTATGTGGGTTTTACATTTTTTTTTCTGTCACCTGAAGGTAAAGGTTAGCTATCTTTTGCAGAGCTGAGCTAGTAATAATGTTTCTTTGCCTCATTGATCCATTAAAGTATGCTAAGGTCATTAGAACTGCAGCCACTTGGTGAACTCTGGGTTAAAGAGTTGGAGTAGGTGCCAAGAGAATGATAGAAAATATTTACTTTTATGTTTTCAGTAACAATATTTGTGCTTTAAGAGAGGAATCCAAGGAGATGATACTGTGAACAGAGAAACTAGCTTTCTAGTATAAAAGCCATGGCCATTCACTGATTCCCCTGATAAGGTAGACAGTGTAGATGGTTTGGCTTTAGCATAGCAGATTATTTTCCTAGAATCCAGATTACGGTGGTTTTAAATGCAATAACCTCCCTTTTTGTCACGTGCTTAATACATTTTATATATCAGTTGTTCTAGGGTTAGTGGAAAAATCAGACCAGGAGGCTTCAATGGCTATGCAATCAATGCTTTTATATCAGTGCATTCTTTTTTTTTTTTTTGTTGTGTGTTTAGGTTGGTGTTGAAGTTAGTGTTCAGTTGGAGAAGGGTTTGTTTTGTTTTGTTTTGTAAAGTCTTAGATGTGAGATATGCGTAGCTTGTTTTGTTTGCTTATTCTCCCCATTTCATTTCAGCTGAGAGAGAGTTACAGTGGCATTTTGTTCTGGTTGCAAATCATGAACTCAAACATGGAACAGGATCTCTCATTATTCTGTCTTACCTTCTCAAGGCAGGACTGATAATATTCAGCTTTGCAACAGTGCGTAGGGTGAAAGCATTCATTATTCTTTTGGCTGAAAGTTGCATGTGAAAAGCTCCTTGGGAACATCCTCTCTGGACAAACACTGATGTGACCAGGCCTGTTGCTGTGGGTCTGAGTTTATTCAGCAGTGGAAAACACATTGCTTAGGGCTTGTTGTCTGCTAGTTGAGGACTTGATTTGTCTCTGCCTTGCACACTGGGTTGTTGTATAAGCTAGCATAAAGTAAGTGCTGCCATTCTGATTTAAAAGCCAGGTGGAGAATTGGGAGTGGGTATTAAAATTACAGTACTGTCCGTATTATAATGGTTGCTAAGCAATCACAGGCAGTCACAGTCCCTGCCCTGACTAACTTACATATTATGACAGATGCCTATCATTACCCTGCTTTGCCAACCTCAGTCATGGTAGCTAGAACAGTTGGTCTGGCACATTCAAAGTCACAAATCTTTTCCCAGAAAGTTGTGAGATTGGGTTTGACAGTTAAATTTTAGAAAATGAATCTTGAGGTAATTTTATCTATTTACTTACTTATTAACTTTGAGCTTTACAGTTTAAAGTTTATTTTCAATCCTAGGTTTTGTAAAAGGATGGATGTGACCCCTTCTGCATTTCATGTATGAGGTGTGAGATGCACAAACCCTTGAGGCTACAGGTTTGGAAACTAGTTTGGAAAGTAAACATTATCACAGAGTTGGCTATGCTAGTGTAGACATATGGAAGTCCATTCACTTTTATAGGCTGTTAGTAACACACAGTGCAAAGCATGAGCTCTTACTGCATGTTTTCCTTTTGATCACACTATCTAATGCTCTCATTAATAGATTTAAATACAAACACTACTTCCAGTTAACATCAGTGAAATGGCTTTAGTTGATAAGAAACTGTTATGACAAGCTAATTAGCTTCACAGGCTCCTGAGATTTTGGACATTTGGGTTTTTAAAACTGTAATAATCTATTTAAATTGAATGCAGAAATCAGCTTCAAGATGGCTGTAAAAGGAATTGATGCCTGTACATTCACCTTATTGGTAAAGTTCAGTGCGCTGAATGCTGACAGTAACTTATCTGACAAAAGGTAAACAGCCAGGAAAACCTGCTAGAAGTGAGATGTTCAGGTTTTCTCGCTATCTAAGGTATTTTTGAGAGGCCTATTAACTTGGCATGCAAGAAACAGTGGTATAGATAAGTTACTCCAATGGGGTTAGTGTTTGGGCAGTTTTTCTGGAGTCTTTTCTTTTATATTAGGGATACTGTATCATACAGAGGTGTAGGCTGGTAGAACAGTACTGTAGTTAGTAAAAGATACACACGGTGGAACATACTTAAAGGCAATTATTACAGTTTCTGTAAGTGTGGACAGAAAGCCCCTGATTAAGCTAGTTATTTGTACAAAAGAATTGTACAGCAACAGGTTTTTTTTTAAAAAAAAAAGCAAAGCAAAGGTCCTCATTGTGGGCAGCGGTGGAGTCAAACATGGCTAATATGAGGTCTTGACTCAGTAGAAAGCTATTTTATAGTTCTGGGTGGATTCTGCTTCTGTGCGATATTCACTGGTATGTTGTCTTTTCTTCGGTTTTCCCTCAACTAAGTACTTGTTTGAAATAGTAGAGTGGTAACCAGGGAACTCAACAGTGAGAAGGAGCTGCTGCCCTTGTAAGGATTTACTAGTACTGGCTGCTCTAAAAGCTGAGGTGCCGCATGTAGGCTCTGCAGCACCAGCCTTCGTGCAGGATGCTCAAGGTGTTGCAAAGGTGTCACAGAGATGACTGGGTGTCAGCAGAATGGTAAGGCTATTGCCAAACATAGCAAAGAATCAGTTCTGGAGGTGGCTATTACTTTTATAGCACTTGACCCTTGGCTTTTTTTCTGTCAGTTGTTTCATAGCTATGACACGTTTTGGAGCATGCGTCCTTATTGGTCCATTAAGTTATGAGCACTCTGAGGGGCTTAATTGGAAGCTACTTCATTTACACAGTAATGTGAAGTACTGAAATTATTTTCTTTGTTTGAAAAAGTCCTAGCTTTGCTCATTTCAATCCTTCTGTGGGCCAAATTACTATAGTGGGTTATTTTATATTATGTATTTGATGGCCTAGGAAAGGCAAGCTAAATGTATCTGCATGCAAAAAAATACGGTCAGAAACCCTGAGATACCCTTGTAGTTTAAAACTTTGACAGCCTCCGTTTTCATTTCACCACCAGTATCTTCATGGAAGCATCATAGAATTGTTTAGGTTGGAAAAGACCTTTAAGATCATCCAGTCCAACCATTAACCTAACACTACCAAGTCCACCACTAAACCAATTAAGGGTAGAATAGCAATTTCATGTTTCCTGGTTTGGTGGCTGGATTATTTATAATGAAAGTAAAAACTAGGAATCATTAAGGTTGGAAAGGACCTCTAAGATCATCAGTCCAACCATCAACCCAATACCACAATGTCCACTAAACCATGTCCCCCAGAGCCACATCTACCTGTTTTTTGAACACTTCCAGGGATGGTGACTCCACCACCCCTCTGGGCAGCCTGTTCCAATGCTTGACCACCCTTTCTGTGAAGAAATTTTTCCTTATACCCAATCTAAACCTCCCCTGATGCAGCTTGAGGCCACAGACCTTCCTTAAAGATAGGTATTTTCTGCTTCCTGTTCTTATGTGCTGTCATCTTTATTTATTTGTGATTTTTGACTGTAGGCATCCTTCTCTTTTTAGAGGTCAGAGGAAGAATTTTTTTAGCAGTCTTTTATGGCCTTAATGAAGATGGGGATTCTTGTTATCCACATTAATTCAAGAAAGTTTTCCATTCAATAATTCTGTCTTTTTACCAAGCAGGCCACAGTGGCAGTGTAGTTATTTTTCCATTCTTGAAAACAGAAAATAACTATGTGGGCAGATGTGCAGTGCTTCAGACAGTCTGGACAGTTGGTTGTCTCTTATTGTATAAAATAGAGGATTCGTTCAGAATGCCAAAACTTTCCTTTCCGTCTGTGAATCTGTGCCCATTCTGCATTTCCTTCTTCAGAATATTCCAAATTCTTCCTATGCTTATTCAACAAAAAGTGCCTTGAGGGAGCAAATATTGTACAAGACAGGACCCAGGCTGCTCCCATCACCTGCCAGGCATTAGTCTGAA